TTTTTTTTTTTTTTTTTTTTTTTTTTTTTTTTTTTTTTAAATTTTTATAATTTTTTAATTTTTATTATTTTTTTTTATTTTCTTTTTTTTTATGGAGAGGTTGATTGCCAGGCAGGTTTTCCCAAGAATCCACAAGCTCAAGTACTCACGAGCACTTCAGCCCTGTGAAATAATATTTCCTTTACACGGGCTACTACCAAAACAAGTTCTGCACAGTAGGCAAATTTAAAATAACTTTTAATTAACATTTCAGACACAGAAGTCTGATCATGCAAATTCATCTGCGTCTCCTCTCTGCGCCTGATTGTTCCTGATTGAATATGATAAAAATAGACTTTGTATGAGTCAAGTGTAGGCACGGATTTCTTTCACTTCTCCTCCCCTCTGATTATGCATTTTCTTAGATAAAGTGGAAATCCTTCGATGGTTATTAACAGTATCATAGGTCAGACTGGAAAGGGCATCCTGCCTTAGAGGAGTTAAAGATTTCACTGGAATTAAAGGCATTCCTTCTGTAAGCAAAAAAGATGCTTCAACCTCACATAAAACCTCACCTGAGACTATCCAGCATTGTTCTCTCTCAGTTGACTTTTAATCTCTGAAACACCAACACTAATTTCATTGCACCCCCTGTATCTGAGGTGAGCATCTGGCCAGAGGCTACGGATCTATATTAATACGGAAAAAACCTGACTCCCTCGCACACAGGAGATAAATATTTGAAGGGAGGCTGAGGAATTTCCACGTAATTAAGACATGTCAGAGGACATGACCCTGTTATGAGTACAAGGGACTCTGGATAAGGGAGGGCACACTGATACCTTTATCTTGTAACAATAATGAAGCCAGTTTCCCAGTAAAACCTCCTGCAAAGCCTTTGTAACACAGTCCAGTTAAAATGTCAATATTTGACGCCAGCTGATGATTTGCCAGATATAAAACCCAAAAATAAATGAGCACAGCTACCACTCTCTAAAAGCCATGGAAAACTTGGGCATGGAATATGCGGAGCTGGTATTACCTCTGCTCTCTGGCAGAGGGAAGAACTGTCTCTCTCTGTTTATTTTTCCAAGCAACAATGTCACATGAAGAACACAACACAACGAGCAGACTGAAGTCCCTTAGCTGGCCAGAAGAGCATTCCCTGGGTCACAGTTCTGCACTAAATCACTGATATTGCTCCAAACAGCTACCTGTGATGTTTAGGGCATTTGAGGGGATGTTTCACTCTTCTGGTGTCTCTAATGAGCCACTTCCCCACTGTTGGCTGCTCTCTGATGCTTCTCAGCTCAGGCAGGTAGCACTGCAGATCAAGAAAACACTAATCATCACAAAAAAACAGAGCTGGAAAGGACTAGAGAGGCACCTCACCCTTGCTGTGCACCAGTGCCTCACAGCTTGATGCAGAAAGTCCTGGTCACGACTATGTGGCTGGCCATGACTCCTGCTGATGGAGACTGGACTTGGAGTTGACAGCAGACCTGAGCTCAAAATTGTTTAATCCAGAGACTGATTTCCTCCCTCCCATATAATTTCAGAATCCTTTGTATGGGAAAGTGGACCTGCTTCTTCTCCTGCTGTTGTACAGGATCTTCCCTGGCCTTTCAGGTGATGGACCAAAGGGTGTGAAACCCACAGCGATCCATTTTCACAGAGGCACCCAAGCATTCTGGAGTTTTACTGGAGTGTCTTCATTCTGTACCTTTAAGGATCTTCCACGTGATTTTATTGCTCTTTTTCCCCTCCTCACCTAGCACTACATTTTGATGACAGCCCATTTGGTATTTTGGATGTCTGCAGGTCACCCACTCCGGTAGACATGTGATTTTGGCATATCTGTGCCTGTCTGAACTTCCACATGGTCCCTACACTCAGCCTCTCCCCCCTGCACTGTGTGCTCCACTACAGACGTGACCTGACTTTCTCGGCCATCTCAGTGGCTGTTTTCTTCTCTCAAATCCTGTTGTTAAATTTTACACAGCAACATTAATTCCTGCTGCTGAATACATGAGCTGTGACACCAGCATGGTGCAGTGTCCTCCTGAGCTACATTCCTATCCAGAAACGATTAAGTCTAAAACCACCCTGGCTGAATGACAGGTAATTTAGGAGCGCTATAGGGTGGGCCTTTGTATCTGTCTGGGATGAATGTAGTTCCTGAGTTCCTCTCATCTGGCAGCTTTCCAAGAGCAAGCCACACTTCGAGTTATTCAGCCTATTTTGTTTTTACAACAGTATACAATACAATACAAGTATTTAAAATAAAAATATACGGTATCCCTCCAAACAGTCCACAGACTTAAAAGAGACCATGGGCTTCCTTAGCCTCTGAGGAGCTGTAGATTTCCTGGAAAGCCATTTTTGCTACTTTTTTAGAAGTGTTAAAATGCAGATCAGACTATTTGAGGACAGCAAGGAGATTCAGCTCAGGTTTATAGAGACTGATGAGCCTGACACTGTTCTCTCTGCCAGTACGGGAAAAACCACATTATACTTTCCTACTTACACAGAATTCATCCTGGCTTTACCCAGGAGTACATCAAAGATATTTGTTTCCATAGAATCAGAAAGTATTATCGTAAAACACCCTTGGTTTTCAAATCTTCATAAAGAAGTCCCATGTGCCACCGTGTAAAGCCCTTTGGCCCTTGCAAAACTCTTTCTTCGGTGATTGAAATTAGAGAAATAATGGTACACATCAACTCTGCTTAGAGCAAGAGCAGCATTTTCTAATCCATTTACCACAATTCTATGGGTAATTCTCTTGATGGTTTTTATTCCTTCTAGGTTTAACACGTACCGAGACATTAAATACTCAGAACTCACCTGAAAGCAAATTTCCATTATCCCACCTTCCAGCAGATTCAGCTTTGGAAAGTGTTTTGGAAAGCCATTAAAATATACCACATCTGGAGGGATGCTGCTCTCCAGAGGGCACTGAGGGCTCATACAACTAACCCTGACACAGCTCATGCCCCACTCCCAAAACCCCACCTTCTAACTCGCATCTGGAGATAAAGGACCAGGCAACCTGGGTCACCTGGACAACCTGTGCTGAAGTGACATGGCCACTAGATGTCATTCCTTTTTCACTCAAATGGAGGGTAAAGAAGCATTTACCTGGCAGAATAAGGCTGTGCCCCCCCTCCCCTCCTGCTGTGGTGCAAGGTCCCATGGCCCCATAGACACAAACTTCTCTAAGACTGGCAGCTTTCCAGAGAGAACAACCCTGTCCTGGAAGGAAAAAGGACCACACAGCCCACAACCTGGGTCAGATCTTTATGACTCTTCCTAAGTCTGTGTATCATCCTGAAGGGAGATATTGAATCACAACTTTACAGCACAAAGCATGGTGTATCCAGGATGGATAGGAAGAACAAGTGTGCTGTTACACTCACACTGTCCCCGCTGGAGCAGCAGCACAGCCTGCAGATTGATGCCCAGACCTGAAACCGTGCTGGGTGACCATATTACTGTGACTCAGTAGGAATTCAGTGCCTTACTTCTTCTGAGAATCCACGTCCAAGTCACTCGGTAAGAAAATGCTGGCACTTTGGGAGCTGAGCAGCCTGGTCCTGATGGCAATGGGAGGACCCAGACTCCATAGCTGGCATGGAACTAATCTGGGTCCACAAGGGCATAAAGTGGGCTCTCCATGACCTCCTTGAGCTCTGCTACATATTTGCAGCTTGTAAGGGTATAACTCAGGGGAAAATTTGGTACTACATTAATAAATATTTAGAGATGCTTTAAGATGGAATGAAAATTCAGAATAATATAAATAATAAAAACGTCCCTCAAAGGATGTTCAGTGGCTTGAGCACAATGCAGTTAGACTTTCTGTATTTGTAAAGATTTGGTGCTCATTTAAGATACATCATTTAGTGTTCCTTGTTGACCCTCATATGAATACAGATGGGGGATGCACAAGGATTTCTCATTTTATTAGCACAGACCTCTGCACTGCACTGTGATTTCTAAAATTACTATGCACATTTCAGATGTTCTACATCTATGGATTATTAAGGCTGGAACGAACCAGACCACATCATTTCACCTTCCAGTTCTTCATTTTTACAGCAAACAGTACTGAAAAATTGTCATTTGCATCTCTTTACTTTTTTCTCCTTGCCTCCCAGTAATATCTTGGAGCACATGAGAACAGAATAGAGAAAGAGTGTGCTAATATAAGAAAAATCTTTAACTGATTAAGACCAGATGTACTGAAGAATGTCTACACGTTTACTGCCAGCACACACAAATACATCTGTTAGAGCTATCAGGGAAACACAAATTTTACCAGCTACCTGTTACCACTCAGAGCATTTGCTGCCTCCTTGAAATCATACCCCAGCTGTAAACCCCAAATATCTTGTACTGCTCGGGTTCTCACTCATAAGTACTAATAACTCTGATACATCTACAGCCAATTGCTGTGAAACAACTGCATCCTCTTTGGTGCAATCAGACATGGTCTGTTTGCCACGTTATTTCAGCTCCTTTAGCACCTCGGAGAAATCGGTCACCAAAGAGTTTTGCTGCTTCACGAATCAATCCTCTTTTCCTTTTCCCTTTTCTCCTCCTCTTTCCCCCACCAAAAGTCTTTGTTCCACTGTTATCCATCAAAGTTCCTTCTATCTGCCCAAACCAGCTCAGAGAGAGACAGTGGATATCAACATCCATGAGTTACGAACACGCTGTGTGTCCCGTGCTGACGGATTGATACTTACAGTGCTGGTGGTGAATTCAGGGGGGTTGTCATTCACATCTGTCACCGTAATGATCGCTGTTGCCGTGTTTGAGAGACCATAGTTAAGATTTCCTTCCATATCTGTGGCTTGAACAATGACTATATACTGCTGAACTTTCTGGAGAAAAAAAAAAAGAAAAAAAAAGAAAGATGAGAAACAAAAAAGGCATCCTGTAAAATGCCTTAGTTTATTTTCCATATACAAGTGTGATCTTTAAGCAGACTCTTCAAAGAGTTAATTGGATTAAAAATGTTGGTAAAAAAAAAGGCAGATAAAATTTTCTATCACGTTAGAAAGGACTTTTGCATATATTGGTGGACACCACCTGCTTTATGGGAAAATAAAAATCTTATGGGCAAAATTCCTTGCTTGAAACTGATGCATTTATTAATTTTTAAGCGTTTCAGCAACATTAGTCTCTTTCTTCTGAAAACCAGTCAAAGTTTTGTGCACGTGTTCTCATTGAAAACATTGCTCAGGATATCATACCCCCAAAATTGACATCAACATTGCCTGGTTGCCTTTCAGCTTGTTTTGCTCACACAGTTTGGTGCCCACAAAGCATTTTGATGCTTAAAATGCTCTCCGTGTTTCAATCTTTAACACAATCTCAGTAAATAAGGAGAAATTGAGTCCAGTATGGAAGAAAAAATAATTCAGTGCAACAAACAGAAGTTCAGTGGAACTTATTTAAATTCCTGAACACCTCCCACAACACAGCTCTCAAAGAAAAAAGCTTCACAGAGCCAGCCATAAAAATCACACAGTGAAGTTCTAAAAGATGCTGCACGTCAATGCAACTGGAAAAATAAACCTGAATAAAACAGGAGAGGCCATCTGATCTTGCATGTGGATATGTCTCCCTGGGATGTCTCTTTACTTGGGAATATCTGTCTGCACTGAGAAAAGTCTCCTAATCCGTAAAACTGTCCTTAACAATAAATTTTCATCTGGATCTGTGGAATTTACTGTTGATCTCAATGCGTGTCTTGCTCACAGAGCACTTCATAGGCAGACAGGAAAGCAAAGCTCTTCTCCTGAAATACGGTCAAAGGGATGCACCGCGAAACCGGGAGAGATCCAGCTAAAAACAAAAGGTGTGTAAACCAAGAGGAGGCAAAACTTTATGCAGGAAAAGCTTTTTGTAAAGGGGAGGGACTTTGATGCAAGGAGAGACCAGCCACATGCTGGACTGCTCCTGCTCTCAGAGCACAGCTTGGGTACTCGGGGCTGCTCCCTCCAGGTGCCGACGCTGCAGGCGTGTGGAAAATGTCAAATGTCCTCTGAAATTTCAAAGGGCAAGAATTAGGTCAATTAGGTCTCTCTCTTCCCATACATACATTCTCAAAGTGCTGTAATTGGCTCAATTCTTTAATTCTTCTGAGTCACCAGAATAAGAGATCTGAATTTCAGCTTTATCTTGATTTCAGGACTTTTAATTGACCTGCTAAATTGACAAGGCATCACACTCAGGGATCCATCAGCACCTTGCAACTGGAATATATTATGGAAATGCACTTTCATTATCTCTTCCTACCTTGTATAATAAAACATGAGGGATAAACTATTGTTAGCCCTTGTTTTGCCTCATGCAAGAAGGTGCTGTTCATTACTCCATTTGTAAAGCACCAGGTAAGGCTGAAATGTCCTTATTAGTGAATGTAATTTCTATTTCATATTTAGCTTTTCCTTCCTTATTCTCCCTTATAGACAACTTGGGAGGCTGACTGAAGTATTCCCTAACAGGCCAAATACTTGTGAGCCAAATTAGGTTTAAACCATGTAAGGGGGCAAGATATTAAAAAAAAAATAGCAGCAATCAGATTCCACATAAATTAGAAAAACAGGCTAGAGAGGCCCACATGAGAGACTCATTTCAACAGTGCATTTAAATGGAAAAGCCACTTCTAATGTTCCTGGCTGCAGTGGGAGAGACCCATAACCCACACTGCTTCTGACCTGACAGGGTGGCCGTCACAGATTCTTGTCAAAGCCTCAGTGCTTTGGCAGCAACTGCAGGGAAAAAAAGTCCCTTCTTTTCCATCAGCTGAGAGTGTGACGGAACAGCTCCCATCAGCAAGTGCTTCTTACCCTGGTCTTTCACCATTTTTCTGTGTGTTTGCAGAGTGACTTCTTCCCATCTCCCAGGTCCTGCTCCCATATGTGCCCACCACTGAGCCCCCAGCGATGGCATGGCAAAGGCAGCTCTGCCTGTGTCAAAAGCACTTCTAAAACCTGTGAAAACTTCAATCTGAACTCTGAGGATAAACCACAGACCTTGGCTAAGGTCATGCTCCGTCTGCACTTACTCATCCCAGGACCAGCCTGCACAACTCCCAGCCCCTTCAGGTCCTTTCAGCTGCTCAACCACCGCTTCCCTTGGAAAATGAATCCTCTTAAGAGACGGCAAGGAAGTATAAAGTCTCATTTAAGAGTTTGGTTTACTTCTCCATTTTACTGCTTATTAAATTACACACACTGATGACATGTGCGTGTGTGTACTCACAGACCTCAGGTTTACAGCAGAGTTGCTTCATTTAACAAAATGCCATTCACTGAGCTCTGTAGCACAGTGTTAATAAAAACCCCCACATAAATCCAGAACACTGAATTAAAGAAGTTTAAAAGCCAGATGATATCAATCAGATCATACAACAGCAAGAAAAAAAAAAAAAAAAGGAAAATGACAGGAATTTAGTAATGTGCAAATGTCCCGGTCACAAAGAGCTGGTGCAGAAGGATGGGAAGAGGGGAAGGATGGTAAAGGAGCACAGCACTTGTGCAGCAAGTGCAGGGAGCCCAAGCCTGGCGAGAAAACGTGAGGATCTCAAATGGATGGAGTGACCAGACAGGGCAATGATGGGAGTGCTGGAGATGGGTGCTGCATCCCAGGATGCCAGAGGCAGCTGCAGCCATCAGGTAACACACCAGAATTGAGATGATGATGGAATCTTAGAGACATCACCCAAGTTGCACTGATTTCCCTCAGCTGAAGACAGAACTACTGTGCTTAGAGCAAAAGTGGAATCTGACATGGAGAATGGCCTTGATGGGTATGCAAAGTTGTAAAAGACTCAGACATAAGAAACCACAGAAACATTTAGGTTGGAAAACACCTTTAAGATCATTGAGCCCAGCCATAAAGCCAACACTGCCAAGTCCACCAAATGGAAATAGCCTGAGATCTGCCATTCACATCCAGTTCCATCTGAAAGGCTAGAGCACTGTGGGTATATAAGGGTGCTCCTTTCAAGTACCTAGTTTTAGTTTATAACTAATTCAATCTCCAGTGAGATTGGCCCCAGTAGATAACAAATTACTGATTTTTTTGTTTTTCTGTAGCTAATCTTTTTGCTTTTGTGCATTAAGCTGATTTTATTGAACTATTCAATCAATTTCAATTTCAGCATGTCCTTCCAATTTGTCACATCATCTCCAGGGGCATCTTAGTTTGTTGTCCTAATAGTATTATTATTGTTACGACTACTAAAAAAAAAAAAGGCAGTCTCATGCCCCCAAGCACGAGAGACATTTTCTTGATGGCATTTTGATAATACAGAATAATTCTCCTATTCTCTTTCTTTACAAAAATGACATTTTAAACAGCACAGGGCAGAAACTACAGCATAGAGGTAAACCAAAATGGTCCTAACACTTGCTATATGTTTGCTCTGATGGTGATGCTGAGGAACTAAGGAAATGAGCCTCTGCCCCAAGGGGGTCTAGACTAAACCCCCCTGAAGCCTGTAGGAGGTCTTGTGGTCAGTATTTTTAATAAATCTAACAAATCTTCATGCTACAGTAAAGTAAATGTGCTGCTTCTACTTAAGCCAAGGAAAAAAAGACTTCATCTTGATAAGTGCAGAGCTTTCAGTCTGACCTAAAAACTAAGAAGGATTCTTGAAGTAAAAATTATGAAGGAAGGAATAATTAAAGGAACTGTGGCAGATCTAATCTGTCTGCTCTTTTGTCAATCATCTGATACAGTGCCTCAAAGACACATCAGCTCAACTACAGAAGATGGGAATTAGTTGAAGAAACTGGTTAAGCTGGTTAATAGGAAGTTGGTCAAGGGCTTGGCTAAAAAGGTATCAATGCCCTGCACAAGAGGAATGACAGCTTGGAAGAAGGGTAGCCTGACAATTAGGTAACAGAAACAAGATGTGATTTAACAGCACCAAGTACAGGATAATGCAGCAAGGGACCAATAACAAAACTTTTCTGGAAGTTGATTTATGGGACATGGGAAAGGAGAACCATCCCCACGCCCCACCAGCTCCCTGTTGCCGAGCAAGACACAAACGCCATCGGCAAACTCACTGCACGTGGTATCAGCACTGCAGATACGGCACCACCGATTCCTTGTGCCAAGCACTGGGGGCTCATCGGGGTGCTGGGAGCAATCCAGGCCCTTCTATCCACTGCTGAGCAGCCCAGATCCAACCAGGTGCTGGCAGTGAAGAGCCCATCACCGGAGAAGAGCCTTGGCTTGTTTAGTCTAGCAAAATGAAGGCTGATAGCAGATATGATTACTGTCTATAAATACATCAGGGAGGATAAACACTAGGAAGGCAAAGAAGCAATTTAAACTAAAGGACAATGTTTACACAAGAACAAATGGATATAAACTGGCCATGAATAAATTTAGGCTGGAAATTAGTAGGTCCTTCACCACTAAAGGAGTGAGATGCTGGAGCAATCTAATGCAGGGGCTGGGAGGCAAAAACATTCTAAAGAATGTATTAAATTAAGGCTAAAATCCTTTTGGTCTAGGTAGATATTACGACAAATTGAGCTAAAGCAGAAGGCAGATCTCTCAGCATTCTCTGTGTACAAACAACTTTCTGAAAAGAAAAAGAAGAAACCCCCTTTCAGTGCAAATACCACAGAATGTTTGTGTGGAAATGGGTTAAGGCCCAACACTGACTGCTACCACTGAACCAGCCCATTCCATTGGCACATACAAAGGAACAGGTGCCCTAAACAAAATTACAGCTATTGCAAGTGGCTCTTCCCATCAAGACAGAGCCTGGCATGAAAGGCACCGGCTCAAATCCCAGCTGAGTAGAGCATGGTCTTGCTGAGAGAGGTTATAAACAAAAGTAAATCATGTTCAG